CATCCTGCGGATGCGGAGCGGTGACCCTGGCTAGTGGCGCAACTATGAGGCGATTCAGGTAATTGCCTCGAACCCTGCCAGGCATTGCAGAAGGTGGAAAATACGCAGCCTACATCAAGGCAAGTGCTCTACAGGGCTGGCATGATTGCTTGTATCTTTGCAATTGAGGAGCAGTTTTGGGAGATGTTGCATACATAAATGATCTGCCCGGGATAGCAGCAACATGAAATCGTGGGGCCGGTGTGTGAAGGCTGAAGATTGCCTTGCTTTTTCAAAGCAACTTGAAAGTGCTGAGGACAAGATCCATTGAATTATATGAATATGTTTCTTGTCCTGTCAGAGTTGGATGGCAGCTGGACAGTTTCTACCTGGCACTGCTCTCCCAAGCCGGATGCATTATGCGTACATTTACAAGAAGACACATGTTTCTGAAATGCAGGAATGGTTGTATGACCACCCGGACGATCCCAAGGAGTCTTTCGTCAAGAAGCTGGCTGAACTAAAGGCGTGTCTACAGCACACAGCGAAGACTTTTGCCATTCCCTGTGTTGTCAGGTTTTCACATCATGGAGGTAGTTTTGGTATGCACATCGGCTATATCACGCATAAGCGATGGGAATGCTGCCGGTGGTGCTTCAAAATATAGGCTTTCTGAAAGTAGTGCATTGCATGTGATCCAGCAGGTCGTTGGTGGACCACCAGAATCTCGTGTCCAGGCTGCACAGGATTGCCATGCAACGAGTGTTGCTTCAAGAAGCGAAAAAAGGGGTTGTGCCTGACCACATCACGAAGGCTACCGTGATGACAACCTACGTCCCGAATTGGTTAACACCTTGGAAAAGTCAATAGACCGCTTCAAGGCCCGAAAGGATGTGAGTTCTCTCGGGTGTTTTCTACAAGGGTGTAGGTGATAGAACTGACGGCCCCACATGGTGCCAATGGAGGCTGCAGCGAAAAGACCAAGCAGGAGCATCACTGACAATGCAAAGCTGCAAAGCCTTGAGAAGACATGTGAAGAGGTGCAAAGCAAAGATTGCCGGTGTGTTGCCGTGCATTAATGTTTTGCCGATATCTATTTCAGGTCACTTTGTGGCTTTCTGATATGTTCCTCGGACATACTGCTCAATTCAGAGCTTTGAGCCACAACATTGAAATTTTGCCGAGGAAAGAACAGCAGTCCAAGCTTTCCAAACTGGATGACTCTATTCTGACACGTGAAAACTTGGAGGCGAAAGGGATAGAAAGAATGCTTTTGAACTGGTTCCTTTCTGTTGGCAGTTGGCTTCCTGTTGGCCCTTGTTGGGATTGGTTCAGGTTCGTTTGTTTTTGTTGGCAGGTCATTCGAAAAGCGTGTTTTGTATGTGTTTGCAGCTCCAGGCAAAGACAGAGGAGCTCGCGAAGCTTGCAGATTCTGTCTTGGGACAAAGCTTCTTGATTGCAAAATCTCGTTTCGGGCGATTGTAAAACCATGATCACTCAATCACTTCCTTGCAATGTTTCTCGACAGGTGAGGCCGCTGCATCACCAACTGGTGGGAAAGCTATTGATGTAGACTGACCACAAGAGCAAAAACTTCAGGGACATTCTATGTAGTGCTTGGTGCGCTTCCATGCAGCTGGAAAGAACAAAAAGCGAAAACGAAGACAAAGATAATGATTTATCATTATTTATCATCTATCCTCAAAGCGTGTTGTTGGTCCAGTGATGTCAGGGGTGGCGTTCAGTCTGAGTCTATGTTGGGTAAAGTGTCTCGTGAAAGGGCTTGATTCAATTTTGCGTTTGTTTCTGGGTTGTATTTCAATCGTCTTGGTTTGGAGTTCGGGGTTGTGAGTAAAAAGTGATTTGGTGTACGGAACTGAATGCGGTGCCACACGCCAACCTAGGTTTAAAAAAAGCCTGAGTCCACCGAGGCGGCGCAATACCGCACAACGCGGCAACATCAAAGACATGACCTCGCCGCCACCGTGCATCATCCCGCTGCCCAGCGGCGCGCCGCGTTTACTTCCTTCCCCAAATGGCGCGGACTCACGCAAACGCGCTTTCCACCACACCATGTGCCACAGACTGGATATAACTTGTAGCATCAAGCCTCGTGGGCGCCGCCAATCATCCAGCTCGCCTGCGACACGCCGCGTTTACGCCAGCCGTTTTTCCCTCCCCGAGTGGCGCGGAGACGCGCATTCCGGCGAGGCAGCGCAAAACCGCGCGGCGCAGCGACGTCGCAGACGTAACTTCGCCACATCGTGTGTCACAGACTGGGAACGACAATGTGTAGTAACACCGAGCCTCGTGGGCGCCAACAAAAATCCCGCTCCCCAGTGACACGCCGCGTTTATACACGGCCAGCATGCTTTCCAGTGGCACGGACTCACGCAAATGCACTTTCCACCAAGGCCACGCAACACCGCACGGCGCAGCCACATCACTGCCAAGCATCCCGTTCCCCAGCGACACGCCGTTTACAGATGTATACTATAGCACGTTTACCTTCCCCCCGCGCAAACACACTGTCCACTGCGGTCGCGCAAAGCCGCATGGCACAGACGTAAGTTCGCCGTCCTGTGTGCCACAGACGAGAAAATACAACAACGTAAAACCAAGCCTCTTGGGCACCACGCCGTCAATCATCCAGCGCCGCGCCGCACTTACGCCGTTTCCCCTCCCCCAGTGACAAAGGCACTTTCCACCAAGGCCGCGCAAAGCCGCGTGGCACAGCGACGTCGCAAATGTAATTTTGCCGCGCCGCGTGCCATAGGTTGGCAAATTCAAAAACCACAATGTAACACCAAGCCTCGCGCGCGCCCTCCATCACAAAGCGTGGCATTTCCACTACAAAGATCTACAAAGTTGTCACGCCACGGTATGTAATGCCGCCTCCGTAGCAACCACGTTTGCAAGCTGCGCATGCTCGCGTAGCATCGTGAATCAGTTTCAAAAGTCCGCCCGCACCGAAGGTGCCGAGGCGTTTTTATAAGGCGCGCATTATACCGCAAGTACCGCAAGTACTATAGCTTTAGCTAGGGGGGGGCATTTTCGCTCTAGAATCCTGTGTTTTTCACTTTTTTGGAACCGGCTTAAAGTGCTGGAAAATAAATTCGCGCTAATCTTTGCTATCTTGAAGCCTTTAGCGACGCAATTCATGCAATTTTCTGCTTTGCATCATCTGCATCATCTGAGCGGTAAAGTGTAATTGGACTGAGGCCGGACATTTGGCTGAACAGGTTCCTCTAACGGGGCTCAACATAGCTTCCATATTGCGTAACATAGCCCTAGAAGTCACTATCTAACGGACATGTCTGCGAGATAGGTACTTGAACGTCGTAAACATGGCCCAGCGAAGGCTCAAAAGGGACTGGAATAGAGTGAAGATATTGCCTAACATAGCCCTAGAAGTCACTATCTAAAGGACGTGTCTGCGAGATAGGGACTTGAACGTCGTAAACTGGAATATAAAACCCCCCTAACGTGGCCAAACATAGCGGCTCCACAGGAGCAGAGATAAGCAGAGATCACGTCCAGGAACGGTAACATTTTCGCACGAGCAGAGCGCGCATATGATCGAACATAGCCCCAGAAGTCACTATCTCAAGCATGCTTCTTCGAGATGGGGACTTCAACGTCGTAAACATGGCCCAACGAGGGCTCAAAAGGGACTGGAAAAGCCTGCACAGTCACTATCTCAAGCATGTCTCCTCGAGATAGGGACTTGAACGTCCGGGTACGTGGCTGGTCAGGAGCAGAGATAAGGAAAGATAAGCTCCAGGAATGGTGGAGATAAGGAAAGATAAGGTCCAGGAATGGTACTGTAACATTTTCTCACAAGCATAGCTTCCATATGATCGAACATAGCCCCTGAAGGCACTATCTCAAGTATGTGTTCTCGAGATAGGGCCCCGAACGTCGCAAACACCCTCTCCACGTCCATATTGCCTATCATCTATTTGGCTCCACAGAAGCAGAGATAAGCAGATCAGGTCCAGGAACGGTAACATTATCTCACGAGCATAGCTCCCATATGGTCGAACATAACCCCAGAAGCCACTATCTCAAGTATGCTTCCCCGAGATAGGTACTTGAACGCCGCAAACACGGCCCAACGAAGGCTCAAAAGGGACTGGAATAGAGTGAAGATATTGCCTAACATAGCCCTAGAAGTCACTATCTAAAGGACGGTCCCGGTCTCGAGGGAACATGCTTCAGATAGTGACTTATGTTCGGCAATATGGAAGCTATGTCGGGCCACGTTAGGAGAACACGTTACCGTTAATTGACCTTATCTCTGCTTATCTCTGCTCCATTTGAGCCGAATGTCCGGCCTATCTTGCGCGATCTTGAGCTACCTTGAGAAAAGATACATCAATTTGCGACGTTCAAGCCCCTATCTTCCTTTCATACTGACTCCCTTGGCTCCAAGAGCACAAGAACCCGTTCCAGATCGTGTTCCTTCCTGAAGCTCTCTCACAGCTTACCCGACCCGCAAAATGGCAGCAGTCTTTTAACCCTCCAACTACATTGGGCCATGATCCCTATTCTCGAAACATGGAACCTATGCTCGGCCACGTTGGGGAGGGGGGGTCACTGACTCCCTTGGCTAGTGGTGAGTGTACCAATCTCAATCATGGGTTCATGGGCGGTTGGAAGCGCAACCAGGCACTTCCAGGGCCCAATGTCAGGCATAATGTCGCAACTCAGGCTCACAAGATGTCGCGTCATTGCAGACTGCCTGACACCATGCCACCACGGCGAATCACTTCACCGCACCATGTCGCACTTTAAACGGCGTCGCCTCACTGCATTGCGCTTCACCTTACTGCCTTGTGAGTTGAAAGGTTCTTCCCCAAAACAGTGCCTTCGGAAATTAATTCGGAAATGGCTGCCAATGTTGGTGCATCCCCGCTGGAGTAGTGTAGCAAATTGCGAGGCTCTGCAGCCATTTGGCGGCCAAATGCCGTCCACACCAGCCAGCAAAGTATGGCTCGCCGTTGTCCAACTGTCACGACATGGCATTCATTTTGTTCCTCGGCGCTTAATAAGTGGAGGAGACAGCGGTGGGGACGTTCAAGTCGAGGACCGGCCCATGGGTGCATGTTACACTGGTTATATATGTAGATAGTTTGAGCTTTCCCTTTTGTATTGAGGGGCATGCCCCGAACAAAATTTGCAATCACTTCAGTCCAGCGAAGTACAGCGTGGCCACGCTGTCTTGAGCCTTCGAGCGATACAAACCATCTCGCGGCGCTTTTCTTTTCAATACTGCGCACAGAGAGAAGTAAGTAGCTGTGATTGCCAAATTTGGTGATTCTCCCTAGCTGACGGGGCGAAAGTGAGGTGGGTCCAAGCAGTTATATAGTGGACCGCGATAGCTGGCAGTCTTGGCTGTGATTTTTATTGGTTTTTGATTGCTCGGGCTCAAGATCACCAGCCGGATCAGGAATGCCTGCGCCGCAGGATCAGCGCCAACGGCGCATATATGACCGTTCCTGCTGGAATTCTTTCGGTCTTCATGGTCATGAAGCGGGCCTATGGCTGCTGCAGAAGCAACGGCAACTAAGTCCGACACCGATGACTGACTACCATCAGCCTGTCCCACAAAGGCCATTTCGACTTATCCGAGCGGCGTCAATGGAGAAGCCTAAAGTGCACCCGAAGGCGGGGCAAAAAGGGCTTCGATTTGCAGGCTTCTGGTCAGGTTGCCTCCAGGGGTAGCTTCAACGCGAGGGTTCCACACCTGTTGCATCCTGTTGCACAAAATAGAGCGGCGTTTGGCTTTTCCAATGGAAGGCTTTGCCATGCTTTCGATCCAACTCACACAGGCATCCCTGACGGCCTCAGAGTAGGATCAAAAGCAGCGCCTTTGTCTACCTTTGTGCTCAAGGTGTTGGGGTTGGATTATGGCCTAATGAGGAAGGCAGGGCGATTCATGGGAAGGAGCTCACCATCGCCGGATCAGCTCACGTCGGCGCCTGACCGCTCCAAAATCCGAAAGAATCCAATGTCGACTATGATGCATCCGAAGACTCTCCCACCGTCGCTAGAGTCAAGGTCCGCTTCGCCAAAGACTTGAAGAGCTGCTTAGCTTCACCCAAGTGTGCCAAAACCTCGAACGGTGCCATCAAGACATTCAACGCCTGGCCCGATTCCTGAGAAGGGTGGCCCGTGCCCCACATAGTGAAGACCAAGGCTACGGAGGGGAAGGGCGTTGCCATGGAGGTGCGATCTGCCCTGGGTATGAAAGCCAGGCTCACAACTTGGAAATTTGCCATGATGAAGTGTGGACTCATGGAACATTCAAGAAGCTTGGCTGTCATGCTTCGCCGGTGGAGATTGCCCACCGCCTACTTCGCTGGAAGTTGGAAGGGCTACTGCTCTAAATGTCTGCTTTAGGAAGCTGAACTAGGTTCCACTGGGATGACGCAATTCTCTTCCGCGCTGCCGTTTTTGGTGCCTTCCACGTGGAGTTGCTGCGTCCATTCTGACTCTATGAAAGAGTTTCTCAGCGTCGGTGGCTTTCAGAGTTCTTTTGTGTGGAGCAGTCCAAGAGGCTTCATTTGACATCATTTGACAAGACCTTCAAAGATGTCGTCCTCGAGGGCATGAATGATGGCCTAGGCCTACAACAAGATGAAGACAAATTGAACCAAGGCTCAAGCTAGACCCATTTCACACCAATGTGACCGCGCATATTCCAGTGAACGGTCATGTCGCCTGACCTACTGGCCCTTTGAAAGTCGAGAAAACGATGCTTTTCAGCTTACATGATAACATACATACACCCCGAACGATGAGAAAGATGCATCCTTGGACGGCTGCTTTACCTATTGAACCTTATAACTTATAACTTATAAACTTGAAGGCCACTGAGTCTCTCAGTCCCAACATCATATTTGCTTCGTCAAAGCTCTGAGCTGCTTCAACAAACAATGTAATCATGCTGTTCCCAGCTTCAGTGGGGTCAACGCGATTCCCATCCCAAGTCTGCTGTAAGTTATTCCGTTGCCCAAGAAACTGCCCAAAGGTTTTTTGCGTTTCTTAAGTATCGGCCCTACGCATACTCCTACCCAAGGCTCACGCTTTCCACGTGGATTTCCGCCATGGCCTTAGTGTTGCAGCTGTCGCGGGTTGCGCCCGAGAATGGTTTGAACCCATCCGACCTTCCACATGCTCAGGACGACAATTTAACGATTGAAACACACCAATCATTGTCGTACTCTTCAATGTTTCAATGTTTGCTCGAACCCTGGGCAACAAGAAATACATACCCAAGACATATAGTTAGTGCACTTTAGCACTCCCTCATTTTAGTTGGGATCCTCCCCAACCCTGTCAAGAATGATGTTTCGAGAGACTTTGCTGATCAACATGAGAGGTTCAACCGCGTCAAGCCCCACCTAGATGTGGACGTGAACTGAATACGCATTGCTCTTATGACTCTTATGGGCATGTGAGTTTTCAATATGTTTCGTGCTGGTGAATTGTTGTAGTACTACTCGATGTACATATACCCGCAGCATGGTTGACCAAGCGTGAAGTAAAAAGGCCTGTGAAGACCGCTGGTAAGGTTTCTGTTCGTAGCCCCTAGTTTTGTTTCCGGTTGGTAGCGGAGCCCCTGGGTTTGGTCCAGGGGCGATGATGCTGGTGGTCCTCCTGGTGGTTTCCCTCCTCCCGCGCCTGGGGGGATACCATCCAGGCATGGCGCGGCAGCACCCGGAGGTTCTCTTGAACCCCTGGGTTTCGAGGTTCCGCCCCACGAGAGCACCACGCCTGCCCATGGAGGTGTATTCGGCCCGTCTTTGTCCCTGGCATCATCGCGCCGCGCTGGGTTTGTTCAACCCAGCCAATTCGGTTTGTCCCTGTCTTTGGTCCATGTGCAACCGCACAATGTCTCCCAGCCGCCTGGGAGCAAGCGCGCGTCCTGGCTGTGCTCATCATCGTGCAGCGTCGCTCCGGCGACCGTCGATTCGTCGACCAGAGTGTTCTTGATGCCCAACACCGCCGATGAAGCACAGGTCCAGGAGCCTGCTATAGCAAGGAGTGTCACGTCTTCGGACGGAGGCATATTCTGCCCGTCGCTGTCCCACAAGTTTGCACGCCGTGCTGAGGCTGCTTGCCCCAGCCACTTCGGTCCGTCTTTGTCCCATGTCACAACATGTTCATGCAGTGTCTCCCAACTCCCGGGAAGCATGCCATCGGTCCGGCCCGTTCCGAACTCGTCAACTGTCGTTGTCGCTCGATCGACTCAGGTGAATGCAAAGCCGATCACCTTCGACGACGCCGTGAACCTAGAGCCGCCGAGATACCACTACCGCTACAACTCAATGCTGTGCTGCGCTCACTTGCGTACAGGGGGTAAACCTGTCACAGCACTCAAGTTCCACTCACTTGCCAATGTCCACCACGAACACGCCATCCGTCTACAATACATTCACCTTTTGCACTACCAGTACATTTTGCACTACATCCTCAGTGACAAGCACTACCAGTACATTTTGCACTACATCCTCAGTGACAAGCACTGCCAGTACATTTTGCACTACATCCTCAGTGACAAGCACTGCCAGTACATTTTGCACTACATCCTCAGTGACACGCGCTACCAGTACGTTTTGCACTACGTCTCCCAAGCCAAGTTCTACCAATACCTTTGTCACTGCGTCCTCAGGCCCAAGTACCACCAGTCAGAGTGATCAGCCCTTGGATCACTCAAAACGCCAGCAAGAAGAGCTCATTCGCCTGATAGCGTTCGCACTACTACCACTACCATTGTTCATGATTGCACTGTGCATTGTAGTTGCATTAAAGGTACTCATATCTACCTGCGCAGTCGCCGCCCGGCGAGAGAGCTTGTTCGTGTTGGCCGCGTCCGACATCAGGGCCCATCATTGACCGCGCCAAACATGCCATTCGCACTGCAAGAGTTAAGCTTTTCTTTGCCTTTTTGGTGCTCAATGCAACCCATGTAGAGGCACTGAGCCAGATGCCGGACATGCAGCTGCCAAGCATCACAACGTTCGAGCATACATGGATGCCCTGGCTACTCCTGATACTGCCAATGATGATAGTGGCCACGTTGTGCCTTATGTTCTCAGGAGCAACATCCATGCGTCTGCCGCCAAGGTACGACCCATCAGACACGAATCAAACCTTTCGTGCATGGTCACAAGACCTGATGCTGCGGAGCATATCCACCGATCTGCAGCCGCATCAGCAGGCAGCCATGATCATCTCACAACTCGCAGGACCCGCACGCGAGTTGGCGCGACAGATCACACCTGCCGAGCTGTTCAATGGTGGAGTATCCAACGGGAGGCAATTGGATCCTGTGTCATACCTTGTTCATTGCCAATCGATTCGCACCATTGGACGATGAGAGCCGCCTTCGAGCAGCCCAAGACTTGCTGTCCCTCTCACGACGGCAAGGAGAAAGCATCGACGCCTTGGTCACACGATTTGACCTGGTCCGCACAAGAGCTCAGAATGATGGAGGGGGTGCCCAAGTGTCCGTTGAGACAGCTAGCCTCTTGCTCTTGCGCGCGTGTGGCTGCTCGCCCGACCAGTTCCAATCGCTAACACAGCCATTCGGCTTTCGACTGCCAAGCACCGATGAACAGTTCCAACAGCTTTGCACCACGCACACCTGGTCAAAATCCTCAAACTCCAAACCAATAAAGAGATCAGGGTAGTGCTCATAGGCAGCATGTGGCTTCCAGTTCTTCCAAACTTGATGATCATAGATATCAACCGGAGTACAGTCAGTCACATGAAGGGCCAAATGCTTGAGGGCATAGAAGAGGCCTCTTTGTTTACTGCCTTGCCCCTGTGATGGAGGCAACCCGCTCCTTTCTGGTTATCAGGTGGATGCAAATGGCGAAGGCAAACTTCTTGCGCCGTTTGTCACCACACGTAGGTGCCACCGCCGCCCTGCATACATGGCCTGACGCGGACGACGCCCAAATCATGCCATTCAAAGGTGCTCACGCCCTCTTCAGGAACGTAAACGGTGTGTTGGACCACGCCTTGATGCCGTCACAGCTATGGCCCTTGCTACCTTGGCATTCTTTGGCGCGAGCGCAATGTTGGTGACTCGCACTTGAATTGCCAAGGTGCCTTCTCTTTCCAGCCAGCATGTCGACCGCTGGATATGGCAAACGATTCCAGAAGTTGTATGAGATTCCATCAGGCCCGGCCGCTTTGTTTGGAAGTCTCCGAAAAGCCGCTGAAGCCGCATAGGAGTCAATGGTATAGGGAGTTGCCCGTGATGTAGGGCATGCCAACCCTCGGATCTGGCATGGAGCTTGCAGAGGTTGCCAGATGTCTCCCCGTTGGCGTTCTCGAGCTTCGTGACGATCTTGTACAGGGAGGTTTTGAAAAGGTCGCTGCCGTGGACAATTCTTCTGGCGCAAACTCCGACAAAGACCTCGAGCCTTTTCCAACCATTCCTTGAATTCGCCACCGCTGGGCTCTTTGTTCTTGCTGGGCAATTTCCTTCTTGATGGCCACACGGGTTCATTCTCAGGATGCTCAAGTGACCACGATCGAAAGAGGTCCTGCTCCATGTCATCCGAGGCATGATCCTTAAGAGATGCCAGCATACGCGCGAGATCTCGAACGACCTTGGACTGAGGATTCTGGTGGACGACGTTGATCCTGACCTTCGTCTTCTCCCAGTAGGGAGCCGCAAGATCAACCGTACGAGCTTCATACAAAAAGAGATTCTTGAGCCCGGCCCGTGGTGGGTGAGTTCAGGAGGTGAGTGAGGTGTAGCCGCCTGGCGAGATCAGAGCCCAGACCAGTGATCTGCGCGCCCACGATGTAGAAAGATCATTTTCCCAAAAACTGGTCCAAGCAGCCGGGAGCTGAGTAGAATTTCAATTGGGAGAAAACCTCTGAAGCTGTGGAACCGGAAGTGCAGGAACATCATTGTGAAAAGGTGACAACCACACCACAATCAGGCTTCCATGGGACATCCCAGTCAACCTCCAAATGAATTGGCCCAGCAATGGAGGCGGTGAGGTTCAAGCAGCTCCACACGAATCATGAGGTTCTGCTTCTGGAATCGCGTCCACCCATTGCCCTCTTTGGTGTAGGTGAAGGCCTGGTGTGTGAGGTGCCTGGGGCCATGCAGGGTGATGAAACACTCAGACGGTCTCCTTTGGTCCAAATCCAATCTTGCACACGCGGTCCAAAGGAAGTGATGTTGCTGAAGATGAGGGTCAGCGTCTCGCGATGATGACGGATAGGTCTGGCATGATGCCTTGCAAAGATTGTAGAGGGCTTGCTGACCCTCTATGTCGAAAACTGTCGTGGGTGCATCTTCTTCCACGATGCTGAGCATTGCGGGGTCCAGCAAAGTGCAATATGGTAGAAGAACGCAGTGCCCCTAGCCTGGCTGGTTCCACCCTGAAGATCAGATGTCGTTTAAAATCCCGTTGCAGGGCTTTTGACAACGCCGTTCCCTCTTTTGCAGACTTGGGCTCAAAGAACAGCTCTGCATGGTCCCTTTCCCACTGCTCCCAAACTTCGAGGGGGGCCCTGAAGCGAATGGGTCTGATCCGCGAGTGAAAAGTGGAGCTTGAGCATGAAGATGGGGAAAAACGTGCGTGGGGTTAGACATGTCCTCGGAGACTCTGTGTTGCGCCGCTCGGCTTCTTCATCCCCCGCGTTCCTGTGGGCCTTTTCAACATTGTCTGCAACTGTGCTTTCTGATCATCAGAAAGAGTCACCCCGAGGGTGTTAAGGCCCCTTTTTCAGTCCAATTTTGTTGGATGCCCTTCATCTCTTCGAGCATCGCAGCAAAGGTCTTCTTTGTGGAATCGATCTTCTGTTGAAGAACTTGCTTCCTGTGGGAAGGTCTCGAAGAGCGGAGACTTCAGCTTTGCATGAGCTTCAATGCCATGTCCATCTCTGTCTCAGCGGGTTGGTGGAGGGGGCTTGATGCCTAGCTGTTCCAATCGTTGCTGAAGGGTTGGATGTATGTAATGTAGCATATAATATATATATATATTTGAGTATGTCCTGTATGTTTGGTATGTTGTGTGCGCTTGTATGTTGGTATGTATGTTACGTGTCTTATGTTATGTTATGTTACGTTACACTATTTTACGTTGTGTTATGCTACGTTACGTTATGTATGCGTGTATGTATGTTGGTATGTATGTATGCATGTATGTTTGTATGTATGTATGTATGTGCGTTCGTATGTATGTGGGTTCCGTATGTTTCAATGTAGTTTTTGTGTATGTATCGCTACGTCTATATGTGTGTGTGTGTCTGTATGTGAGTTTGTATGTATGTATGTAGGTAGGTCTGTATGTCTGTATGTTGTGTTTGTGTATGTATGTATGTATGTATGTATGTATCTACACATGAATGTAGGCGCATGTGTGTATGTAAGTATGTATGTGTGCGTGTATGTGTGTAAGTATGCTTGAATGTGATGTAATATGATGTAGTGTGATGTAGCGCAATGTAATGTAATGTAGTGTAACGTTGGTATGTCTGTATGTATGTTGCATGTTTGTGTATGCTATGTTTGTTTGTACTGTAATGTAATGTAATGTAATGTAATGTAATGTAATGTAATGTAATGTAATGTA